ATATATATATATATATATATATATATATATATATGTATAGCTTCCCCAACAGTCTTTCTCCTTGAGTTTTCTGTAAAGTAAAACACTTAGCTCTATATAATCCAAGAAATCTATACATAGTTTAGAGAAGGAAGCATAAATCTCATGAGTCTCAGATTCACTTCCTGTTGTCGTCCTTCATTATACATTTAAAGACAATCAATAAAAAATGATTTCCCTTTGTAAGCATTTTCCTGTTCTGCCACAAATAATAGCAGTACTTTTAAGTACTTTTCCTGAGCCAAGTGAAACACAAACAGCAAATCAAGTTTATTCTTACAAAAAAAAATTTAAGTACTCCTGGCATTAGTTTTAGTCTTAAAATCCGTGGAATCAACAAGTTTTCAAACTCTGGATTTATATTGCAACTTTCAACAATGAACTCTGTTTCCTGATAATTCTACTGTATTTCTGTATGAATATACATATCACGTACAACACTTTTGATCAATGTTGAACACTGGAGCAATAAAGAAAGGACAGTGAGGTCCTCCAAATTGCCTCCTAGCGCAGAGTGAGACGCAAAACCACAGGAATAAAAAACCAAATGAGAACGAAGTTACATCTGGTAAGGAAGTCAAGAGCTGCAAACAACTCTATGTCTTATTTCAAAACACAGATTTTTTTTGCCACTTGCTTTTTTAGCCCAAGAATTTTCTTGCTTAAAACATTACTTGAAAGTTTCATATGAAATCATCTGAAATAATCTGTTGGGGTTTGTTTAATATGGAGACTGTCTCAGAACTATCCATTTTTAATTTTTTTCTTCTGGGTTTTTCACAAAAGGCTGTAAGGAAAGCACCACATGGAAGAGAAACGGACTTTTGCTTTGTAATGAAGTTACAAATATGTTCTGTACATTTCCCTGGCTCCCTATTTCCCTTTACTCTGTATTATCTACAGAGGTTGTCATATTTCACCAGAACGGATTATAAATCAGACAAGTTCAGCCCTTCAGGTTGAAAAATGGAGGTGAAAGGCGCAGCGGAAAATATATAAAGTATAATTAAAACCATATGACCAGAGATATTGCAGAAGTACTTGATGGAGGAAACCCAAGTAAAAATCAAGTATTTTCTTGTGTTAGTGAGACTACCCAGTCCATTTGGGACATGCACACACCATTCATTAAATATTCTTCTTCTTTTTTTTTTTTTCACAGCAAGAGTGCCAGGGAAGTTAAATCCTAACAAGGCAGTTACACCTATAGCTAAATTCATAGTTGTTCATGTAAAACTGATCTCTCATTTAAAACAGTAATCACTTATTTAGAAACACAGTTTAAGATTGGACAAGGGTCCATTTTACGTCCACCACAGAGTATTAAAGACTTATGATGCCAATGTTAAATCAAAAACCTTTTGTACCAAGTCTTTATCATCAGACCTGAGGATTCCAGTAAGACACAGATAATCTAATTGCTTACTGTTGAACATAAAGAGCAAGCAGCGATGAAATGCAAACGGTCTCCCCTACTACATTATAAACCACCCAGAGGTTAGTGCTTCACGTAGGTGGTGTTCAGCAGGCCAGTGATAGATAGGTGTCTAAGGATATACAGAAATTGAGAACTTTCCAAGCTGTAAAGCAATTCCAATAAAATATCTTTGACTTTGGCAATCTATCACCAAAGCCATTCCTTGTCTATTTCTCCAGAGCATTCCAAGTGTCAATTATAATCATCTCAGTAGACAACTGGAACATAATTTTCAATATTGCTTTGGGATTCCGACAAGCAACTCAAGTGTCGCAAGTCACTTACCTCCCAGAAACTGAATTCCTCCAGCCACTCTTCCCACGGTCCTGGAGATGAGCTCCGACACACAGCAACCCATGAGGGCAGTGAGGGCCACCAGGAGGAGGAGGCCACAGCCCAGGCCTGTCACGATGGTGCAGATCCTCCATTCTGCACTGGGAATGCCCTGGAAGGAGGCATAGCGCCCACATTCCTCCACCATCACCATCGTCTGCCGGCTCTCATCGTGTACGGGATATGAGCACCTCCGGAACGTACCAAAGGACACAGGCTTGCCCAGCTGGGATCCCCAGAGCCAGTAAGGCATAAAGAACCCCACGCAGGAGGTGGCAGCACACAGAAACGAGAGCAGAGCCCAGATCACCCCGGTACACGTCAGGCTGGATGCCATCTTCTTACGGGTAGGGCAGTAAGGACCCAAAGTAACTGTTTTGAGACGGCAGGGGTGAGGGAAGGTCTGAAAGCACCAGGGACCCAGGAGGCAGGCAGTCCACAGCTCTGGAGGGGGAGTGTCTATGAAAAGAACGAATCTCCAGTCTTACTGGGCATCAGCTTCCCATCCTCTGTAGCAAGGATAATGGTCCCTGGGAAAACAATCACAAACGTCAAAAGTTAAATGTATTTAGCGAAGCGCTAACACCAATTCAGTTGGCCTATGACTTTTCATTAATAAACATTCAAACTGGCCTCAATACTTCAAAAGTGGGAAGAATTAATTTTCGTCATAAACTTCTCTATAATTCAAGTTTTGTCAAACTCTCTCAAAGCTTTGTCATGTCTTTATCTCCTATAAATGCTCCCAAATTAACTCTCACAGCTATTTACTTAAAAAGTGCATGACTTCTATTTGCCAGTGAAGTCACTTCCTTTACTCACATTAAAAGTTATGCAGCATTTCTATCGGCAGTGAACATAATTCCAAACATTATAATAAAATGAACCATTCCATGGTTTGTCTACTTGGTTTGCAAGTTCATGCTCTTAATTTGTAATAACTTTTCTGTGTCCCTTTAGATGCATTAACACCCTGCCTGAGCCCAAACAAAATAATGAGGATAATTTTCACAACTGGAGAGCACCATAAATTCAACAAACATTACAGACTGCGGAGACACGTAGAATGGATGGAGCTATTAGCACTCCCAGTACCCTTTAGTGGAAACTATCCTCTACGAGAGCATACGAGAAAAAGCCAGCGTATGACTTCTTTTCAGGTCTGCAGTTTTAATCCATTGGTTCCAATGAAACTATTGGAACCACCTCTCCAGTTCAATGACTGTCAGTGTCTAATGTGAAAAGTAATGCGTACTTTCCAGAGCCCTGCATCCAACCCCAATCATTCAAATAGTTCCACATGCATTTGACGGCCACCCCCCCTTCCTTTCAAAAAGAGTTCCAGAACCATTTCCCACACTTTCCATAAAGAAATGATGACAGAAGCTCAGAGCCCACGCACCCTCGAGTTCCATCCTCAGACCTCTGAACTCCAGCTCTCCAGGACCAGAGTGAACCCCCGCTTCCCTGCCTCTCCCCTTCCCCAAGCCTCGCCCCAAGGGTTCCTCTCCACCACCGCCCCATTTGCAGTGCAGTGTGTCACTCCGGGGGAGCTCCGGCTACGATGTTTTTTTTTTTTAATCGTGTCAACTGCCATCAGCTAAAGTTGTCTGTCTGGGCGGTGAGGCTGAGGACGACTCGTGGGGGGCGGGGTGACACAGGGGGAGGGGGCCATCGCCTACAGCGGGGGTAAGGACCCCTCATCACCAGCCCCTGCAACAGCCCCACGCCCACGCCCACCCCTGACGACGGCTCCGCTCCCTCAACCCGAAAGGAGCGCGAGGGAGCTTTCCAGGCGGCCCTGGCAGGGAGGGGGCCGGGCTGGGAAGGCGGCACCCCCGGGGCGCACGCCGAGCGCAGACGCGGCGGGCGGGAGAGCCGAGCCCGCGGCCCCGCTCAGGAAGTCCGGAGCCCGGGGCGGCACGAGTCCCCCGGCGCCGGGGGCAGAGCCCGGGGGGAGCCCGCGCCCGAGGGCCGGCGAGCGCTGCACTCACATGGCTGGCGGGCGGCAGCGCCTCCTCTCCCGGGCCGGGGCGCGCACACAACTTGCGGTCTTCCCCGGGCGGAGCATCGGCGGCCGACGAGACCGTCCTCCCCGCTGTCCCCAACCGCCGCCGAGACGCCGGCNAAACATCTGCAATATGCTCATTAAATGTGAGGAAAACGATCCTTTTTTGAAGTGACTGATAACTGGTGATGAGAAGTGGATTGTTTACAACAATGTGGTGAGCAAACGGTCTTGGTCCCGACGTGATGATTCACCTCAAACGACATCGAAAGCAGACATTCATCAGAGGAAGGTTATGCTCTCAGTGTGGTGGGATTTTAAAGGTGTCATGTGTTTTGAGCTCCTACTAAGGAACCAAACAATCAATTAGAATGTGTACTGTCGGCAATTGGACAGTTTGACCGAATCCATCATCCAGAAATGTCCAGAGCTTGTTAATTGTAAAGGAGCTGTGTTCCATCAGGACAATGCAAGACCACACACAAGTTTGCTCACCAGTCAAAAGTGATTGGAGCTTGGATGGGATGTGTTGCCACACCCACCATATTCGCCTGACCTTGCGCTGTCAGACTTCCACTTGTTTTGCTCTCTTTAAAACTCCTTGCATGGTATAACATTCAATTCAGATGAGGCTATAAATCAGCACCTTGTTCAGTTTTTGCAAATAAAGACAGGTCTTTCTATAAACAAGGAATTATGAAGCTCACTGAAAGATGGCAAAAGGTTATCAGACAAAACGGGCAATATATCATTGACTGATCTTTGTTCTTTATATAAATGACCTTTGAATAATATAGACAAAATACGGCATGATTTTTCCGACAACCCAATATATGTACAATACATGTATATATTACATAACATGTATGCTATAATTATAATATGTATATAATAGGTATTAAGAGAGAGAACTCCAGGAAAACAATTTTCTGTGACAAAAAACAAGGAAAGATAGAACACGGATGTGCTAAGCCAATACCAAACTACAGAGGCAGCTCTTTTTATAGTCCAATTAGAGAGGTTCATATCAGATCATGATACAACTAAACTTGAAGTTCTGAAAGTAAACCATCTGCCAGGAGTCACATTTTTAAAAATATGAAACAGCTAACTTAGAACAAGATTCTCAAGAGTGGTCTCAGAACCAGCATCATCTGGGAACTTGTTTGAAATGCAAATTATCAGCCCGCAGCCCCACTGAACCTTCTGAATCAGAAATTCTTGGGTGGGTCCCCAAAATCTGTGTCTTACAAAGTCCTTGAGTGATTCTGATGCATGTTAAAGATTGAGAACCACTTAGATCTCAAGACAACTCGCCAGACCTTATGCCATAGGTTAGAGGGACGTGAATGGAACAAGAGTAGTTTGTAATCCATAAGGCATCATTTAAAGAGGAGCAAAAAGAGCCCTGCCTGCTCCCCAACTGGCCCCCAAAATGCCTAAATTTCCTAAAAGTAAAGCAACTCTTTTCAGTTAAGACACTGTCACTGAAAAGTCACCATGGCCATTAATATGTCAACACTCACCGTTTATCTTATTCCTCAGCTGTCAGAGAACCCGGATGTGAAGGAAAGCAGAATATAACCTATCGTGTGACAGGTCAGGTGTGAGGAGGTGAGGGAAGTCCCGAGCCCTCACCTAAACGGGTGACAGGCCCATGTGGGACCCTACGGTGAGGGAACTCTGGAAAGGCAAGGGTGCTTTCAGCAAACAGGGAGAGGGATGCTCGAAGGAACACTCTGTCATCATTCTTGTCTTGGGTAGCACTTCACTATCAATTAGTCAAAGAGATGGTCTCCCTGGTTTCTCAGAACAGAGCAGCGATGAAATTGGAAAGATGGTTGTTTGCTTCTGATTAGCATTCTGCACCCACTGTATACACATATGTGACTCATATTCAAAATAAATGTGGAGTAAGACAAATTTGGGACTCTCTTCGGGCCCCCCTCATTCCAGCACCAGCAGTTTTCTAAGATGGAATCGAAAATTCTGATCATGACATCTGCCAGCACCAGTTGACAGGACTTCCCGGTAGATATCATATGTCATCTTTGCTGTGTTCTTATATGTCTTGTTTGCAGAGCACATAAATAAGATATTTTGCTAACATACGTACATCAAAAAGTTTGATAATAACTTTTAAAAACGATTAAAGTACTTAAATACTACAACAGTATTTGAAAGCACATAATTTAATATTCAACAAACACAAACAACATCAAAGCCTCTGTTTTCTCACAGCGCCATTTCCATACCATACGACTGTTGACACTTTCGTTATACGTTATATTTCTCAAAGGCTTTCTGCAGGCCTTTTAAAGACTCAGCTGAGGGTAAAACTCAACCCAGGCTTGTTTTTAAAAATGACTTAAAATATGGAGACGGCGGCGATTCAAGTTTACGTACAAGTTACCACAGGAAAAGCAGGAGTCGTCGATTCCTTGGAGTATTCGTTATTCGTCCTCTAGGGAGCAGATGTTCATGTACCATTTTGTGCTGTTCTATCAGTTGACAGATGACATTTTAACCTCTAACCAACCATAGTGAGACGATTCAAAATTAAGGCTGACACTCTGTCCTTTAACCAGTTCCAAAGTGCTGCAGGGGCTGGACTGCCTGCTGCTGCACCATATGTGCGCTCTCTCCACGCCGCGGGCGGGGCGACACAGGATGCCTCTGGACTGGGCCGTTCAGCAGCTTCCTGTTGTTTTTGGAACAACCCTAACTTTCGCTAAACATAACCCTTCTCTGGGGGGGATCATTTTTAGTAAGAGAATCCACCTATAGCAGAGCACCCTGTATGGTGACCGCATTTCTGAAGCACTGCTATCTATGGAATTCATAGAACTCACTGGTTTGGTATTTTGCAGTCTCTATGAAACCCATCCATTTTATGAAAAATTTCACAAAATAAAGTTGCTTACCACTTAAGTTTTTACAAATAAAAACCCAAACAATTATGAAATAAACAATAGGAAAGATTTTTTTGAAGCTTTTTTTTTTTTTTGCTTCTGTCAACTGGTCTACCATTTAAATGACAGTGATTAATGGCAGATTTGTCTAAAACCTTTTCCATAATTCGAGTTGTTTTTTAATTCTAAATGTACTATTGTCTTGGGTAATGGGATGTATTTACTTGTGTCCTCAAGAGGTTCGATTCAGAAAAACCCTCTTAGGTTTTACATTCAGAATTATTTTTTGCCAGATACGAAAAACATATATGAGAAATGAGAGACTACCAACTACTGATAATAAACTATACCCTTAGCTTAGTGTCAATAACTCTTACCAAGCCAGAGTTCATGAAAAGCATATATAAAGAAAAAAACAGTCCTTTTAAATATATATATATATATATATATATATATATATATAT